CGACCATTTCTGGCCGGCAACTTTCAGCGTCATTAAGCCGCTGCGCCACCGCGTCCCCCACAAGAATATCTGTACTTTCAAGCAAAAAGGGAATACTGGTATTAATGCTACCAGATTTGGGCAACAACCACTAGATGGCAGCAAAAGTCTTTTCTATCTCTGCTACCATCTAGTGGCTTTCCAGGGTTCTGAATCCCAGTGTTTCCTGTTGCCAAAACACCCCAAATCCTTTCTGGTTTGTTCCACCTGTAACGTGGAACATCCAAAAGATTCTGGGCTTCCTTTCTGCCCAATTGTGGCTGACATGGAGCAGGTTGACAGGACTCCCACAGCTCAGTCTTTTGTTCTGAGTTCAAAACAGAACACTTTCTCTATTTTGCACATACCCTTAGTTGAAAGCCACATTTAACATTGGGGAAGGGTGAAGCCTCCAACATGGCTGGCTAGGAACCTAACTTCCTAGTTCTTCAGCCATTTTAAAGAGCCAGTTGGGTGAAATAGTTAAGGCACCGAGCTAGAAATCAGGGACCCTGAGTTCTAGTCCTGCCTTAGACCTTTGGGCCAGGTCCTCTCCCAGCCCTAGGAAGAAGGTGGCCATGGCAAACCACTTCCAAAAATGTTGTCTAAAAAACTGCAGGGACTTGTCTAGGCAATCGCCAGGAGTCAAGATTGATTTGAAGGCACAGATAAATCAATGCCTATTTTAGGATTTATACTACAGTTTTCATGTGTTTCCCACCATGAAACAACAGGAAACTGTTGTCCATTGATACCAGTTTTGCAAAGTCAGCTGAGCCACCACAAAGGGCGTTGGGGATCACACATGGTCCTGGGAAAGCAGGTTACCCATCCATGAGAGAGAGAATGGCTTATTGCAGCATACCAGGCTGACTTTTCCCCTTATTAAAACCATCTAAATCAACAACATTCAGTTCTCTATGTTCCTATCCACACCTTCCTACAAGCATATATGTACCTCTTCCTCAAAATCACAACTTAAGCATTTGATGAAATGGAGAGTCATCTGCAAAAGGCTATGGTATAATAAATGGCTGGGCCACTACCATTTTTTGCTGCAACAGAGTAGTATGTCTAATGCTTCTGGAAAGGTGATACTGACCAATTGACTGTCCAATGGCAACAAAGCTTCCAGCGGCCACGCCACCACCACTGGCAATGGCAGCAGCCGACATCATCTTTGCTGCCAGTGATCCTGCTGCAATTCCAGCGGTAGTGAAGCCCACGGCTCCCAGGATCAGTGGAGCACCGATTACTGCACCACCTAAAGAACTTGCTGTTAGTCACAGCTGTATAAAAGTAGCCTAGATTAATATCACTCATTTATTTACTCCATTTTCTACCAATTTTTCTCTTGACCCCTTATTTCGCACCAGAGTCATTCAATCAGCTGCATGGTTGAGGGAGTTGACTGTGAATTTATGTCTCCTTAAATCAAGTACAACATTTTAACCCTGGCTCCAACAACTGCGTTGACTGCCTTCCTTACTTCACCTACATGTCCCTTAGGGTCTGTGTAATGGAAGGCATGTGTGAGGAGGATGCTGGAATGGAAGATCAAGGCTATCAGGAGGGAGGGAGTACATTCCAGGAGAGGGTACAGGGCAAGCGCTTTCTCAGCCCACAACAAGACCGTGAGAAGAAGGAGGAGGTGAGGCTAGACCCTCCCTAGAGTCTCACGGGGTATATCTACTAGTTGTTTTAGCATAGATTTAGTCTGGCGAGATTCTGTTTTTAGGGTGTAAGCTAATAAAGGAACTATAATGGACTGGACTGCCCCATTGTTGTTCTTGGGCTGGGCCTGACAGTCTGAAAGGAAACAGCTACAACCTACCCCTGGCAGTGGTTTTTATTCAAGGGGGCAGTGGACTAATCCTTCAACTTATGTTAGGCTGCCTCTCAGTGTTGTGCTCTGTGAACAATAATGGCATGCTGATTGTACCGTATTGTGTAGTATACAGGAATCCATTAGGATGAAGACCAGCCTATAGAGATTTTTAAATAATTGTCTTCTTCGTATAAGGTGTTACCGAGTGATACCTCATACTTCTGAAGCTCAGGAAGGGTGAACATTGTAGCACAAAGATTGGACTATATCAGAAAGCTCCCATTTCTCCTATCAACTCTACAGGTAGTCCTCGCTTACTGACAGTAATTGGGACAGGAAACTCTGTCACTAAGCAACATGGTCATAAGGCACAATGTCATGCTGACGTATGACAGCAGTTCTGACAGTCCCAGTTGATGTTAGGCGAATCCTGCACAGTTGCAGTGTCCCATGGTCATGTGATTGCCATTTGTGACCTGCCAGCTTCCCTATTGACTTTGCTTGTTGGAAGCCAGCAGTGAAGGTTGCAAACAGTGATCTTGTGACTGCACAATGCTACGATGTTATAATCGCGAGCCAGCTGCCAAGTGCCTGAATCACGTCCACGTGACCATGGGGACACTGATGGCTGTAACTATGAGGACCTGTCAACTATAAGTACCTCATTCAGTGCCGTTGTAAGTTTGAACGGTCACTGAATGAGTAGTCATTCAACGAGTACTACCTATACAGAGGACCTCAGGCGGTCCTTATCTTCCATCCTGCCACTGGTCTCTTATCTGCAGTATGGAAATTACTGATTTCATTTGCACTATTAAAAAAGCTTAGAAACTGATAATGCACATTAGCATTTTTAACATTTGGCTGCACTTAAAAAAAATCAGTGGACCATCATTGTACAGGGCCTGGATTGCAATACTGCACTTATCATTGAAGTTTTCAACCTCCCTGTGGATGCTCAAATCATTTTTGTTAATAGTAACAAAAATTACTTGGACATTACAGGATCTTGGTGCAGGTGCTTCTTAAAGGCTAGAAAAGGGATAAAGGAAGAGCACGCTAAAGTTCTGTCAGCACTAGGAAGAAACAAAAAAAGTTCTAAAATTCTCTTTTCCCCAAGCTAAACACCTGCCTTGTGCTGAGAACTGCTCCTCTAACACAAAACCTGTTGGACATTTGCAAGATCTACACCTTTAACAGTATTAACTG